CCTATATTGCGACAGTGGTGTGGGTAGTTCAAAAATAAAATATGTAAATTTACCTACGTGAAACTTTTGTTTTCTGTGAAATAATCTGCCTCAGGCACCTTCGTTAACAACAGTAACATTTTGGAAAGCTGAATTTGTTCGTGGTCGTACGGGTATTTTTGATGATGAGCGTCTTGGGAGACCAAATGAAGCTACCACGTCGGAAATGATCATCAAAGTCCATGACATGATTATGGTAGATCGTCGAATTAAGCTCTGCAAGTTAATAGAGGTCCTAAAAAGTTCCTACGAACGCGTATATAATATTATTCACCATCATTTGGGCATGAAAAACGTATCCGCGCGATGGGTGCCGCGTTTGCTGAGAATCGATCGAATGCAAAAACGTGTGACCACTTTGGAGACGCTTTTGGCGATGATACGGCGCAATCCGAAGGATTTTTTTCGCCGACTTATCACTGCTGATGAAACCTGGGTGCATTATTATACACTGAAAACCAAAGAATAGTCGAAACAGTGGCGGAAACGCGGCGAAGGGGGCAGCCAAAGAAGGCAAAGAGTGCACATTCGGCCGGCAAAGTGATGGCGACTGTTTTCTGGAATGCGAAGGGCATCATCCACATCGACATCTTGGAGAAAGAAAAAACAATGAATGGTGAGTACTATGCAGCATATTGGATTGATTCGATGTCGAATTGCGCCAAAACGCCCCGTTTTGGAACGCAAAAACGTGATCTTTCACCAAGACAATGCATCGGCTCACCGATCGGCCGTCGCCATGGCAAAATTACACGAATTGGGCTATGAATTGGTTGAACAACCACTGTATTCCCCAGATCTTGTCGCTAGCGATTTTTTCCTGTTTCCATAAACCTAATAAAATGGCTCGGAGGATGTTTCACTACAAATGATGAAGTCGTCGCTGAAACTTCGGCCTATTTTGAAGAGTTCGAGCAAAAGTACTATTTGGATGGGATAAAAAAATTGGAACATCGTCTTACTAAGTATATCGAGCTAAAAGGGGACTATGTTGAGAAATAAATGGATTTAATTCAAAAAAACTTGTTTTTTTCTATCAAAGGCTAGTGTTATATCAATTCACCCTCGTAAATGAAAATAATGTAGAGCAAAGTTCATAGTTTTATGCAATTTATGTACCTACATTAAAAACCAATATTTTAACTGTATAGAGATTGGGTTAAGGTGAACCTGACTTGTTTTTGTCAAATTTTGAAAATGTCATAATGCCCTTGCTTAGTAAAGCAGACAAACTGATCATACTTGGTGATTTTAATATAAGTTTTAGAATTGAATCTGATCCTTTTTTTTAAAATTCAAAATCTATTAACATCTTTTCACATCCCAGTCCAGTAGTTGCTTCGAAAACATGTCAAATTTTTCTGAAAATATCCACAAAGTAGACGTATTTAAACCTTTTTTTTCTGACCATCGAGCTCAATTTTTATTTATTGACCCTGAACATAAACTTGTTGACATAATCAAACATTTTAACGGTTTATTAATTGTTCTGGTTTACAGAAGCTTAAACGCGTGCTAGCTAGTACAAATATGAACTTTTTCTGATACTAATAATGATCCTCATTTTTTGACAGTCTTTCTTACCGAAGCTCATAGCAATTTAATATTAAAGCATTTTCCACTAAAAAGTACAAAAAACTGCTTAAAAACACCCGTGCAATGATTTAGTAATAAATTAAGGTCTTACAGATCTAATCTTTCTCTTATTAAACACATTGCAAATGCCACTAAGGATCCCGATGTGTTCAAAGTATATAAACAAGAAAAATTTGAATATAATCGGCAACTACAAATTAGTAGAAAGTTAGCTTACTGTAATTTTATTACTAATTCCAATAATAAACATAGAGACTGCTGAAAAATAGTAAATTTCGAAACGAACAACACAAGATCCAGTTACAACCAGGTACAATCCAGGTACAACCAGATCTACTTCCAAAGTACGTAACAAAATAAATCAATCTTTTACTACACTTGCAGAGAATATAATTACATATCTTCCCACTATAAATGTGGATGTCCTCTTCACTTATATAAAATCCTTCTTCGGACAAATAGTTTTTTTTTCGCCTCGTTGTAGAAGAAGAGGTCTCTTAGTAATTCTAATTGTAGGGATGTTTACGAAATTAATAGTAAAATTTTAAAAGAAACTTACTAAATAGTTTTAACACTTTTCACTCATCTTATTAATTTAATTCTATCAACTGGAGTAAGTAGATGAATAGTGCCGGTTGGTTGAGGGATAGGGAAATCAATGAGTGCGAGAGAGAACATGGGACGTAGGTGACGTTACAGTTTACGATAATGCTGAAAGTGATAGTGACGCTAGTCTTCACGAGAGGACGTCACAAACGTCGTCAAACACACGATTAAGGATGAAGGAAACTTTCGTGAGATTCGAGAAGGAAGCAGAGAAGATGGGGCTCCAAATCAACGAAAACAAGACGAAATAACCAAAGCAGTGACAGAATCGGTCAGAACATCACCATCGATGTGTTTAACTTTGAGTGCGTTAGAGAATTCAAGTATCTTGGAACAACAATAATTGAAGACAATAACGGATCACAAGAAATAAACAACAGGATTCAGGCTGGCCACAGATGTCTTTTTGTCCTCCAAAACCTTATAAAATCAAAACAACTAACACGACGTATGAAGATACAGGTCTATAAAACAATCCGACCCGTTATTATGTATGGAAGCGAAATTTAGACGATAAAAAAGGCAAACGAAGAGAGACCATGTGTTTGGGAAAGAAAAATCCTAAGGAAGATCTTTGGTCCTGTGCTGGATATAGCATCAGGACAATATAGGATAAGAACTAACAAAGAGCTTGAAGAACTTTACCAAGACGCCAACATCATAAAAGAAATAAATTCCAGAAGACTCCAATCAGCGTTGTCAGGCCCAAAAAATTTATTTCCCCAAATTGTGTTTCAAATTTGCCAGATTTTGAACAGAATTCACCAGATTTATATATTTAAGTTTTGAACAAATCTTCTCCTACATGCATGCAACCGGTGTTGCGCTGTGTCAAGTCAAGGAACCCCGGACACAGAATAAATAACAATCAGAATGCCCACTCCCAGATACCGCCTTTGACGTTTGTCAGCACGCAATCGTCATATTTTAAACGGAAACATAGACTCGAATTGAGAAATTTGTGGCAAGCTACGACAGAACTGTAATTTAAATTTGTAAAGATTAATAATTTAGTACAATTGAAATAATTTAATCTATTCTTTATCTAAAAGTACGAATAAAATAGTGCATAATATGTTTATAGTTGCCTTAAATAAATTAAACCGGTTAATTTTTCTATGTACACCAGATAAAATGTCACTGAAGAGCACTGGTTCCGTTTAAAACATGACTGATTCCGTCTGCGCGAACGAGATGCGCATACTTGTTTTTTCAAGCAGAGTGGGCATTCTGATTGTTTATTATTCTGTGCTCTGGACCTACACAGCTGGTTAATAATAGATGACAGTGTCAGGGAACCCCATGCAATATCATTGTTTGCGGTAGCGCCAATTCACCAAACTGTACTGAGTGTGGCCTATATGTGGAATCAGTCACCGCGATCTTATCTTGTCCTTTTAGTACATTTAATATTCACATAATTACTGGACTTTCAAAAATAACAACTTTTTACTAAATTTAATAACATATTTTAGCCAGTTCAATCTCCCAGATATAAGTCATTTTAAAAAAGTTTTTCCCAGTCCCCAAAGATTCTCAATTTTCCCCAGTTCTGAGGAAAAATCCCCAGACTTGGCATCCCTGACTCCAATGGGCAGGACACCTCAGAAGACATTCTGACGAACGAACAGTAAGACTGGTGGGGGAGAAAGTTTCAACTGGAAGGAGACCACGCGGACGCCCTCGTCTCCGGTGGCGAGATAATATAGCAGGAGACCTAAGTACTATGGGCTTGGAGAATTGGATATAGGTTGCTCAAGACAGAAAACAATGGAGACATGTTGTCGAGTCGGCTAAGACCCACGAAGGGTTGTAACGCCATGGAGTAAATAAGTAAGTAATAGGATTTTAGCAGAGGTTAGTTATAGAGAACACTGCCGACCTTTCTTTACCAAATTTAAAATTATGCCGCTACCTATTCTGTTGATATTTCAAGTTATAACTGAAATTCACAGAAAACGTGCCCTATTAATAAAGCAGTCTGATGTCCATGTTCACAATACGTGAAACTGTCACCACCTACGAACAAATCGCTGTAGATTAAGTCTTTCAGACAAAATTGTGTTAATTATAAATATTACAATATTTTACCAAAAAGTATTTAATAGCTAAACTGTAATAGTTCCGATAAAGTTTGAAAAAATATCTTCTAAAACATTCTTTTTACTGCTCAGAAGAATATAAGACTCATTGCAGAACATTCACTGAGCTGCTTACCGTAACTTTGCCATAAATGTGTTTCTGTTTAATATGTGTTTTTGTTTGTATATATTTAAGTCACGTTTTATATTCCCTTTTTATATAGTATGTATTTCTTTACTTGCTACAAACAATATTTGTATTTGAAATGAGGTTGAATGCTCGAATAAATGAACTTTGAAAATAAGGCTATTATCGAGCACAAGTTAATTAAATCTAGCCCAAGTACTTTCGCTTAAAATAGCATCTTCAGGGGCATTTCGTCAAAATGTAAACTATCCGGCAAGCGTAGAATGTGGAAACATTAAAAATGACATAAAATTGTACAAAACACTACACTAAAACGAGGACAAACAGTTTAAAATTACTTAAAGATTCTACGCTACATTCTCTGTCAGTATCTGGAGGGATAATGACAGAGAATGTAGCGTATAACATTATACGCTACTCTACTCTATTCTACTCTACTCTACTCCACTCTTCTCACCTCTACTCTTCTCACCTCTACTCTACTCTACTCACTTTACTTTACTATACCCTACTATAAATAGTTGTCTTACCTCAGCTATACTACCAATAGGCGCTGAATAGACTGCGCCAGATGGAACTATCGGAGAGGGTACAGGTATTATTAACTCTATATCTGCGTCTACTTCGTCTATATCACCAACAAATGCATTGGGCAACGAAGTATCTGTTGTATTGGCGGCTTCGGATTTCGATCCTACTTTTGCTCGATAATGTTGCACGTATATCTTGGCCACTAAAAAACTTAGGAGCACAACGACGACTGCTGCTACGGTCATTAAAATGTAGATAAAAAGTCTTTCTTTATCGCCTGTAACAAATATAGTAAACAAATCTTAATTATTTAACGAAAATACGCTATATTACCAGTGATTTTATGTTTTATTAACCCTGCGGTGCACGGGTTGGGTCTGTCAGGCCTATTCAGTTATTCTAATATCTCTATTCGGTCAGCAAGTATGGTCCTGGCGGTCTAGGTACCTTTCGTCGGCATAGTCAGGCTATAATCCCTCAGTTACGAATGCGCATTGAAGCAATATTGTCGATGATATATCTGTTTTCGTCCTCTCAGACCCAACCCGTTCCTTAATGTAAGTTTTTTTTGAAAGTACAAAACAAAATTTGCAGTGTATTGTTTTTAGAGCTTAGTAAAACAATGTATTCTTACGAGAGAGAGGCAAAATATTTGCAACGTCTCTACGAGGAAGTTGCAACCGACGAGGAAGAAAATTATGAAGATTCAGATTCCGATGAGTCTATAGTTGGCAACTTAGAACATGAAGATGCTAATCATAACTCAGAGTCTGAATTGGATTTATCAGACACCGAATTAAACATACAAGAATGTATTCCACAAAGTAAGTCAAACCAACACCTTTATTACAATACCAAAGACGGAATGAAATGGAATAAGATATGCGGATCACGAAATGTTAGAACTAGACGAGAAAATATCATAACAAAACTTTCTGGAGTTATTCGTGAAGCGAAAAGTTGCAAAACTGAAAAATAATGCTGGGAACTGTTTTTTAATGACAAAATTATAAAACATATTGTTGAATGTACTAATGTATATATCGAGCGTGTGTCCGTGAGATAAAAAGACAGTTCCGATGCGAGGCTAACAAATATATGTGAACTAAAAACTCTGATTGGTCTGCTTTACTTAGCTGGAGTTTACCGTGGAGGTAGAACTTCATTTTTGAGTTTTGGGAAAGAAATGGAACGGGCATTTTTGATTTAGATTTCTTATGAAGTGCTTACGCCTAGATGATATTCATACAAGGGACGAACGAACACAAGTAGACAAACTTGCAGCAGTTAGAGTCGTATTCGAGGATGTAGTTGAAAATTTTCAAAAATATTATACCATTGGCCAATATGTCACTATTGATGAGATGCTTTTAGGCTTTAGAGGTCGCTGTAGTTTTAGAATGTACCTTCCAAAAAAACCGGCCCGATACGGTCTGAAGGTATTTTTCTTGGTGAATTCTTGCACGTTCTATGCTTATCAATTAGAAATATATGCCGGTACACAACCACCAGGTCCATATTCTATCAGTCCCGCAGTCAACCATATGGTTGAGTGGCTTTGCAAACCAATGTCACAATGGATTATTGGTTTACATCAATTGAACTCGCACAAAACTTATTGACAAATCATAGTCTAACAATTGTAGACACCCTACGGAAAAACAAAAGGCATATCTCAACCAAATTTTTAATGAACAATAGACCGCCAAAATCAACTATGTTTGGATTTACCAAAGATATGACAATATTGTCCTATATACCAAAACCAAAAAAAACATGTTCTTTTGTCAATCCTACACCATAATGGCCAAATCGATCCGACAACGGGTGATGAAAGTAAACTTGAAGCAATAATGTTCGATAACTCTACGAAAGGTGGTGTGGACACCGTTGATCAACTTCGAGGTTCCTATACTGTCGCAAGAAATACAAAACGCTGGCCTATGATAATCTTTTATGCATTGCTTGATGTTGCTGCAATAAATGCATTTGTGATACAAAGAAGTAACACACCGGATCTAAAAACAAGCAAAAGAAGAAGATTTTTTTTTTAAAGAACTAGGTCTTCAGTTAGTGATGGATAATATAAAAGCAAGAGCTCAATCTCCTCATTTGACACGAGATATGAGAGCTTGACATGTATCTAGGAGCGATCTAAACAAATGGCACAGATCAATTTTAACCTGGAGACCATACCAACACAAAAGACCCAGAGGCAGGCCTCCTATGAGATGGACAGATGATCTGAAAAGGACTGCCGGGAAAAATTGGCTGCAAGTAGCGTACAATAAAAAACAATGGAAAGGAAGACTTAAAGAGGCTTATGTTCAGATGTGGACGTGAATGGCTAGACGAAGAATAAGAGAGCTTGCTGCTAAACTCAGTGGTGATGCCAGTAGAACCACCTGCATCATCATCTTTGGCTCGACAATCCTCTGTGGATCTTGGCCTGCTCTAAGATTCGTCGCTATTCTGTTCGGTTTTTGGCAACATGTTGCCATCTTCTGATTTTTAATATTTGTAAGTCGGTTTCTACTCCATCTAACCACCTAATTCGCGGTCGGCCTTTGCTTCTTTTTCCTACAGGTATTCCTGTGGGTAGCTTTTTAGCAACGGTATTTTCTGGCATTCGTATTATGTGTCCAGCCCATCTAAGTCGCTGTGTTTTAATGAACGTTATGACATCTGGCTCATCAAAGAGCAGATACAATTCAAAATTATATCTTCTGCGCCACTGCCCTTGGTCGTTTACAGCTCCAAATATTTTGCGGAGTATTTTACGCTCAAATATTCCCAAAAGTCTTTCATCTTTCTGCGTTAGAGTCCATGTTTCTGCTCCATATGTGAGGACCGGCCTCAGCAATGTTTTGTATATAATAATTTTAGTTTTTCTTTGAATGTTTCTTGAGTGGAAATGCTTTTGGAGTCCATAGTATGCCCTATTTCTAAGATTTATTCGTCTTTTGATTTCTTCGCTTGTTTTATTGGTAGCAGTCAATAGCGACCCAAGGTATGTGAAGTTGTCAACACGTCCAAAGGTATGACTTCCAAAGACTGTTTCTCGTTCCTCATTTGCTATCGGATCCTTTGTAACCAACATGTACTTGGTTTTGTCTTCGTTGATGACTAGACCGACCTGTTTCGCCGCTGTTTCCGATTCTAGGAGATATTGCTCAACATCTCGCTTGCTACGCCCTACTATGTCAATGTCATCAGCATATGCTAAGACTTGTATCGATCTATTGTAAATAGTACCGCCATCCCTAATTCGTGTATCTCGGACTGCCTTTTCTAAGGCAACATTAAATAGGAGGCAAGCCAGAGCATCTCCTTGTCCGAGTCCATCCTTTATCTCAAAGGATCTAGAACTCTCTCCCTGTATTCTAACAGTGGCTTCTAAGTTAGACATTGTTATTCTCGTTAGTCGGATAAGTTTCTCTGGTATACCAAACTCATGCATTGATTGGTATAGCACTGTTCTCTTGACACTGTCGTATGCGGCCTTGAAGTCGACGAATAGGTGATGGGTTTCAATATTGAATTCTAATGTTTTCTCGAGAATCTGTCCTATTGAATGAATCTGGTCAATTGTTGATTTTTTTGGAGTGAATCCAACTTGGTATTTACCAATTATGCCCACTGTGTAAACTTGCAACCTTTCGTAGAGAATATTTGCTAGTATTTTGTAAGCAGTTGTTAACAGGGTTATACCTCTATAGTTGTCACACTGGAGCTGGTCACCTTTTTTATGTAAAGGGCATATCACGCCTTGAGACCATTCACAAGGCATGGTCTCATTATGCCAAACAAGAAGTAAAAGCTTATGCAGTGTCTGTAGTAGGGCATAGCCACCATTCTTGTAGAGCTCACTGCAAATTTGATCAACTCCTGGTGATTTATTATTTTTAAGCTTTTTAATGGCTTGGGCAACGTTTTCGATGGTAGGTGGTCTTTCGTTTGGGTTGAAAGGATTCCAGTCATTTCGATTTGCTAGGGTGTTATCTGCTTCTTTGATATGATGGCCATTAAATTTTGCATCGAAAAATTCAACCCATCTGTTTAGGATTGAGGCTGTATCATTTAGGATGTTTCCTTCTACATCCTTACAGCTCCTTATTCTTGGCTTAAAATCTTTGCGCATTTTGTTTAGATTTCTGTAGAACTTTCGAGTTTCATTTTGATTTCTTAGCCATTCTGTGCTTTCCAACTGCTTTTGCTCAAATTGTCTTTTTTTTCTTCTATGTAATCGTTTTTCTTCTCTTCTTAGTGTCCGGTATTCTTCCTTTGCTCTTCTTGTGCATCCAGCTTGATTTGTCTTTAGGTATGCCCTGTTTTTGTTATCTGTTGCTTCTCGGCACTCCTTGTCAAACCATTCGTTTTCTTTAACTGGTTTGGTTTTGAAGAAGAAGCACCTGCGGAATTGCAAAATAAACGAGGGCGTTGTGCTTTTTGTAGAGATCGTAAAACTCGCTACATGTGTCACTACTGCAAAAAATTTATTTGCTTAGAACATACCTTACCTGTTTGTCGCGTATGCATTGATAAAATGACTGAATAAGTTATATACAAGGTGTTCTTTGAACATATTGTAGTATGTAATTTCTTTTATATTCTTAGCTTTAATATTATAATAGCAGTTCATTTTTTTATGTACATGTAAGTTGTCTTTAGTAGTAGTTCTAATATATGAAACGCAAACCTGTTGTCACAAAATTAAACATAAAAAATTCTTAGTTTAATTTTTGGGCTTCTCAGACCCAACCCGTTGCTTCGTGTATCAAATTATCACCCGTGCACCGAAGGGTTAAGATTTAAATAAACCAAATTGAAAGAACGCAAACTTTATATTGATCCTATTTCCTGCTACGATTTAAGTTTTTGTTATTTCAATATTTATTAGTGTATTTGCAATAAAATCCTTCAAGAATTAAAATATTTTAAATACAAACTTACTCAATAGAAAATTGTTCGTGGTTTGTGGCGAACTACTTGAATCGACATGATGAAACTCTTTCGTAATATTTTCCTTCGTGACACCTTCTATGTTTGGATCGGGAGGAGACGCAGCAAATTCCCTAAAGTAATCATTAGCGCCTTGGTATATTTCCAACACATTATCATCTACACTTGAAATTTCGTCATCTTTTTCGTCAGCTTCTAGAAATCCTTCGTACTGTTCTTTAAGAACTGTTCTTGGTACTATAAAAAATATATTTAAACGGGGTGCCGTTAAAAAAATAAAAAAATAAACTTTAAAATGATATATCAAACGATATGCCTTTCTGTTAAAAATTTTAGAGATGAAGCCCACCATCGATTTGGGGAATGAAATTTGAGAATGATTATATTTACATAATATCTACCTAAAAATCAAAATTGACACGCCCGAGCGTTTTTTGTTTGTTTTTATTTATCTATAAAAATAAAATAAGAGTGAAAAACCTACAGTGGCCCACTCATTATACAGATAATTTATAAAAAAAGAAAAAGATGATCTGACTTTAGAAGATTATGACAATGATAAATAGAAGAAATAATAAATAAGGAAAAATATATACTGTTAATTAATGGGAGAGTATCAATAGTCACAAGCAGATTAAAGAGTATCTTCCTCTTTTTAATATGTTAGGTCTGTAAACTCTGTTTATTAATAAAGATCGCACTTGAAGAAACAAATAGTTAATTACATGGACGTATAAACATAGATGGACACAGCAATAAGATACCTTTAACACACAATGTTTTGAAGCTTCGATAGAATGTGATGCTTCCGCAATGAGCATAAGCGTGCTTGAATTTTTACTCGCGGGTAATTATTCAGATTTTAAAAATTGGAAGCAGTAATAATGTATAAAAACACGTTCAAAGAATTTTTAAAAAAACGAGAGTTTAACTATTAACAAATCACGTCTTTATAGAAAAATTAAAATACAATTTTATTTGCTTTAAAATTAATACAATTAGATATAGTTGAATTCAAGTTAATTTTTTAATAGTATCAAAATAATGCTACAATAAAAAATCTTTATATTTTCTCCTTAATTTGCTACCCAAATAGTTCGATCGTCAATATTATTTGGAAACCTACATAGAAAAATAAATAAGTTTTATTCATTTCACTAATTTATTTGTATCCATGAGAAATATTAAATTAAAAAGGTACTAAACAGATCTTTTTTAATCAGATAATGTCTACTTACAATTTATAAATGTCTATCATATCTTATTCAATACATTAATGAACATGAATAAACCCAATGGTACGCCTATTAAAATGTAAACAAACACGCTTCCTCATTTCCCCATCTTAAATAATGTAAATTGTATGTACTTACAAATGAAATGAGAGATCGGGATGTAAATATTTCGTTTATTTTATTTCACTTTTCACAAATATCACTCAAAATACAGCCAAAATATCGAAAAATAACTTTTTCCGCAAATCGCCAGGAAATTTTGACATTCCTGTCAAAATTTCTTGAAGAAAAAGTCAGGACTTCCTAAAGGCGCGTTTTCACGGGTCGATCTGAGTCGAACGATTTGGATCGACTGGCCGTCGACTAATAAATCGAAAGCAAATTGAACATGTAAACCATAAATCGACTTGGTCGTTCGGCGGAGTGAGTCGATTCGACGGAAGTCGAAAGACTGTCTACTTTTCATAGGCGATTCCCGCCGAATCGATGTCGAACGACTGGAATAATCATTTTTTACTAAAATAGATGTTGGATAATAAGTTTTAATTATTTAAATTAGAAATGTTTGTTTTGAATTATCCTAAATTTTAATTAGGAATGTTTGTTTTGAAGTCTTCCATAGCCAATATATTAGGTAATAATGGATTTAAAGCACAGCCCAAAAATTTTGTCTATAGAAATCATTGTTTAGATGTTTATCGATATCAGCTTAGTGTTGTCAGTAGATCAAGTCAACAGTTCCATTATAGCTGATGCATTTAATTTGGTTCTAGTTGTTAATCTATTATTTTGTAATTTGGTCCTAATTGTTTTCAAAGTTTTATCTAAGAAAATACCATCTTAATAGTTCATTTATAAATAGACTATTTATTAATGTAAAATCTTACTTCGAAAATATTACATTTACAAATTAATGTACCAAATTATATTAACATTTAAAAAATATGGATAATTTTAATAAAATTTGTGATTTTTTTTCTCTATCAATTACAATTAATTCAACATTCATCGACTGTCGTGTAAACCTTTTTGCTTTCGGCACAGATCGAATGATGGTCGAACGATCCAAATCGTTCGACTCAGATCGACCCGTGAAAACGCGCCTTTACTGTAAGGATATGTCATTTCCTTACTGTAAGGAAATGATATTTCCGTACAGTTGTTAGTGTTCTACATAAATGATAGAAAACACATTGCTTATAAGGAATTAATTTATATTTTGAAAACATCAAGTCATTGCTGAATACTTTATTATACATTACATTAATATACAATTTAATATACAATACATTACTTTCGAGAACACCAGCAATTAAATTTATAAGCGTCAAGTTTGACAATTCAACCTTAATACGTTTCCATAGTAACCCAAGTAATTTTGTTAGGAATTTCAAAGCACCATTTATTTGGGAATAAAATTATCGCGTTTTTTTTAATCAATCAATATCTGTCGAATTTTAAACGATTTGCGGAAAAAATAGTATGTTTACCTCGTAGGAAAAGCCACATTCCTGGACTCTGTGTTGCTAAGTCTCGGCTTGCGCCTCGACTTAGCAATCTTCACAGTCGTCCAGGAATGTTAAGCTTTTCCTACCCGGTAAACAATGTACTATTTCCTCATTTACTGTTAAAAGTAAACAAACATGGAACAGCATTTGAAGTTTGACGTAGATCCATAAGACAGAGAAGTGTAAACAACCGTTGCCATTTATAAATAGTTTTCAGTGCTTCTACATATAAAATAATTGATTATTATACGCTATTATTAAATGATAATGCACACTATGTGCACACATGATATTTTGATTACAATTAAGTATATTAATATAACCAATAAATTATTATTTTGGTTTGATAGCACCTGTAGAGTATAAAATACGGAGTAATATTTTCAGCGACTCGCGAATAAGAAATTTTAAAACAAAACGTGACAACAGTTGAAGGTGCGCAGAATGTGACTTATTCAAATAATTTTGACTTCACAATTTTATGTAAATAACTGAGTCCATCTGTGTTTATACGTCCATGATTAATTACCTTCAAAGCACTTGAAAGGGTATTTTAAGATGGACGGCGATAGATTTCATAGAAATGCTGTTCACAGTGAACCCAAATCGAGGCCAGGAGAAGTAGTAAACAGACGCCATTATTGGTTGTGGTGCTATAGAGAACAAACTATCAAAGATCATACAACACGGATCAATCGATAATTGAAATGCATGACTACAGACAGTATGTTGGTAATGTCTGACCTTCTTATAAACAATATTCTTACCACATGTGTAAACCACCTTCAAGTACATTCTGGAATCCGGTTTGCACGGGCTTCCAAAGGTTGCAATATCAGCTGAAAGGTTGCAGCTTCTTTTCCCATGACATAACTGCATGACAATTTCAGTGGCGTAGCTCACAAGGCATGCTGAAATAAAACAATCCGTATTGACTATAGTCTCGCAAATAATAAGTAAAATTAGTCATTGAAAATCACAAGCTGTAAGTGGTAAAATGTAACCGAAATCACGTGCTCATCATGAATTCTCCGAAATTTTGAATTCGACTATTGACGGGGCTTAAAAAATATGTTCTCTTGTTGGTCACTTTCGATTGTAACAATAGAATATTATATTTCTGCTTATAATAATAAAAATAATACATTAAATCTAGTTTATAAAATAAGTTTTCATTTACATTAATAATGTAAATTATTAATGTAAATGAAACCGAGCAGATGAGCGGAAGTCGAATATATTCCTAAAGATGTAAACTACTCAAATTAGTATATTCTTTTTTGTTCAGAAAGATATTTAATTATTTAGAGTACTAGATGCTCGTTTGGTCTGTATGTACATACTGTATTTTAAAAATTTGCAAAGATGTGTTTATTCCGAAGAATTATACATCGAGTCTTGCACTACATGAATCTTATTATTACAAATACAATCGTCTCTGCAATTGATTCTTAATTCTGTTCCCATCTTCTGCTCTTTCCAGTATTAAAGTTGTTATTTGAAGCTTTTTCTCTTGCTGTTTGATTACCATTTCATCCTTTTATAGAATGAATATAAAGTGTTTGACTCCACTAAACTTTTTTAAACTGTATTTTTGAAATTTCATATGCTCTACACAATATATTGCCTTTTGTAAGGTTAACTAATGATTCTACAATATTTTTTCTTGCAGATCTTTATTAATTTTTCCTAAAACTAGTCTATCTCTGATCATTGAATCTAGAACATCTTCAAATTCACAATTTTTTGCCAATTTACATAAGTCAGTTATGTAAGTATCAAATAATTCTCCTTCCTCTTGTTTTCTAATGTAGAATAAAAATTTTTCATATATTACATTCTTTTTGGGGGTGAAGTAATTGTCTAATTCACCCAATACTATATATCTGAACTTAACACCAGAAGAAATTAACCAATACTTTCAATCAGAAGAAATCAATAAGAGACTCTGAGCATGACATAAACTACTATCTTAGCAGGCTACCTAGAAGGTCAAGTTCGGTCTTTATGTCTCCAATAGTAGCATCTGATGTGAAAGAATGCATATACAAATTAAAAAATTTCTCATGTGTTGACTACTATGGTTTTAACAGTAAAATTATTAAGGAATCGCTTGACACAATTGTTGAACCACTCACAATAATATTTAACAAATGCATTAACGAGGGTTACTGGCCTGATGTATTCAAAATATCAAAAGTAATTCCACTTCATAAAAAAGGAAATAAAAATGCTCCTGACAATTACAGACCTATTACTATAGTACCAACAATAAGTAAAATTTTTGAAATCTTAATTAAAGATCGTATATCAAATTATTTGTATAACAAATCAATTATATCTAGCTCTTAATTTGGTTTTAGAAAAAAAATACTCAACAACTAAAGCTTTATTAGAAGTAATAGAACATATTGTTCACGGTTTTGATGCAGGTGAACCTACTAATGGCTTAATGTGTGACCTTACAAAAGCTTTTGATTGTGTAGATATTCAAACACTATTGATAAAATTGGAGTACTATGGAATAAGGGGCACCATACATGACCTTTTAAAATCCTATCTTACAGAAAGAACACAGATTGTTGCATTTAATAATCAAGAATCTGATCCTTTACCAGTTTCAACCGGAGTACCACAAGGATCAGTTTTGGGTCCTCTACTATTCTTGATATATATAAATGATTTACCAAGTGCATTGGATAACACCAACTGTGTTCTTTTTGCAGATGACACAACCTTATTATGTAGAGGTAAAACTGATTACAGTCAGGATATATTAGAAAAATCTAAATCCTGGTTTAACTGTAACAAACTTAAGTTAAACGAGCAGAAAACCCAGAAAATCGTATTTAGTTCTGATAGATGGGTTACACCATCTGAACCAGTAAAGTTACTAGGTGTTACTATGGATACAAGGTTGAACTGGTCGCACCATATTGAACGATTGTGTAGGGGGCTCGCCTCACAGATTTTTGCTATGCGCAGATTGGCTTCTTCTGTGAGTCGAGATATTCTTAGGTCAGTTTATTTTGGAATGGTTCATAGTATCCTGACATATTGCATACTTCTTTGGGGAAACTCGTCCTATGCATATAAAGTTTTCACTTTTCAAAAAGCAGCAATCCGAATTATTAACTCGGCAGAATATCGCGCCAACTGTAAACCTTTATTTAAGAAGTATGGCATTCTTCCTTTACCTTCAATATATATATTTGAAACTTTGTTAACTATTCATAATAATATAAAAGATGTAAAATCACATGCTGATCAACATCATTACAATACAAGAAATAAAAGTCATATCATTATACCATATTCCAGATTGTGTGTTACACAACTTAATACAATAGATTATATCTGTATAATTGTTTTTTAAACTTAAACAAAAATATTGATATTAAGGCAATGAATTCTAAACAATTTTATAAACTAGCAAAACACTTCCTGCTGGAACACTGTTTCTATAGTATACAGGAATTTGTTTGTTTGAGCTCCTAGTGTGGTCGTTTTTAATGAAAACTATATTACGCCTTACTGAAATGTTTCTTTCTTATTTGTTATAATTTTATATATCTAATTTTCACTGTATATGTTTTATTATATGTTCTTGTATTATTTCTTAGTTCTTGACATGACATGTAGTGTTTACTATGTAAAAATTGTCAATAAACCTATCTATCTATCTATCTATCTATCTATCATACGATTTTGTCTGCGCATCTGTTAACTTTAAGATGCTAAACACAAGTACTTCATTTTCTAAAAATTTAACAGTAGAGCAATTTTTACTGTGTCTTCCTTATCCATCTTGCCACTGGCCAAGAGGTAAATTTAAAATGACTGTTTGAATCGCCTAATGTTTTTACCCACGTTACTTTTAAACGATAAGGGTTGAGGTATTCTAAACTCTGTATTGTTTTATTTCTAACAAGCCATTGTTTGAATGAATGATTTAAGGTTTCTCTATAATCGCTGAATTTCTGCTATGCTTACCATAAGTAAATTTTAATTTATTTAAGTGCTACGCAAAATTTTACGACTTATTTAGGGAATTACTTAATAACTTTTTATTGCAGAAAAGATTTTGTCTATAGTTTATTTTTATGAACGAGAGAGTAATTAGCATAATTTTAACTGGTATCTCCGACCACTCCATGGGCGTGCTCAAGATTAATTGAAAAATTACTTTGAATAATTGTAAAAAATAAATGAATTATTTCAGTGTTATAAAGTGTTATGTGTATGTAAACAAAAGTGACCTCTTTTATCACACACTATATTAGAACTGACTGGCCTACATTAAAAAGGGTTTTAAAAAATTCACATTTTTTTAATTTTTAAAAATTACAAAAGAGAAAAAGAGTTTTTAAAACCGTCTAAGGTATGTTAAATAGATGAATAAAAATATTAATATAAAACTTACAGCTACTTGTTACAAATCCAAATCAGATTCAGAAGATGAACTTTCAGAACCAAGATTTATAATAACTGGCTCGATCATTTTATCAGTAATATTGTCCAGCTTCCACATTTTTTCCTCTTCTTTAATAGTGTGATTTACTGCCTTTTCCCAGTTTTCAGGTTTTATATTATTTACGGCCTCCAAAAACAACTGTTTAACATCATGAATTTTAAAAGTGGTATTTTTTCTTGAAACTTCACTCTTTATCTGTGCCCATACCAGTTCAATCGGGTTTAATTCACAATGATATGGTGGGGATCTAAGTACTGTCATTCCACGATTTTTGGCAATTTCATCAATTTCGTATTTTTTAAATTTTTCTTTATAAAGGGCACACAACGAATAAATTTCTTTTCTTATAGATCCGGGATGGTACGTAATATTTTTTGAACTCAGCCAATTCTGCAAGTCTTTTTTAACCACTTGGTTGTGGGCAGTCCTTCTATAAGTCTGGAGTGATAACTTGCATTATCCATTACTATTACACAGTTCTTAGGAAGAAGATCTATCATTTGTTCGAACCATTCTTGAAAGACATCAGCGTTCATGTCTTCATGGTAGTCACCGGTACGAGTTGATTCAAAAGTTAATAAACCACCTTCAACAAAACCGTCTGAACTGCCAATGTGTACTATTATCAGCCTGCGTCCCTTTCCTGATGGTGGGTTTAAACCAGTAGATAAGTTATTTACAAAAGCGTGCCTTTGACTTGTAACAGTTTCATCCTGCCAAAATTTATTTGGTGTATGACCCTCGTTGATCCATGTTTCATCAAGATAAAATATTTTTCTTTTTTGGTTTCTCATTTCCTTTATGGTTCTTAGAAAATGTCTTCTCCATATGACAATATCGCTTCTTTCTAATAAAATAGACTTTCTGGGATTCTTTTTCCAGCGGAAGCCTATTTCTTTTAAAAGTTTCCATAACGTACTTCGACTCATTTCTGGGTAATCCTTATCATCTCGAACTGAGACAAGAACTTTATCCAATGTTGGAAATTCTTGTCTAAAGAAGAATTCATGCACTTTCCGTCGAAGTCCTTCTTTAAAATGATATTCTATTTGAAATTTTGGAGCATTACGTGGCATTTGAAAACTACCACATTTCTCTTCTTTAATAACTCTGTAAATCGTAGATTTCCCAACACCAAGTGTACTGCTAACTAACTCAACGGTCTCATCAACACTTTCACATAAACGTTTGTCTGTAAATGATTTAAAACAATTAAATATTAATGTTTTTTCATTAACTGTTAAAGGACCAATTTTTCGGCGTTTACACGGCACTTCCGAATTTTCCATAACACTAGTATACACAATAAACTGCACCTTGCAACTGAAGTACCTACTTTTAGTGAACTGTTAAGAATTTTGAATACGCCACTTGGACCTTCATACAAAATGGAAAAACCCACTATCACATTTTCTGTGGAATAAGTTTAGAAAGTAATTATCTAGTCAATTACTGTCGTAGATTCCTGGAATTAAAGAATTACATGTTTGATTGTTGAAACCCTTACTTCGTGGAATGCACTCATTTCAGATAAAATAAAACGTTTTATTTTATCTAAAGAATTAAACTTTATTTTGCAAATAGGTAGGTACTTATTAAACTTTTATTGGTTATATATAACCAATAAAATAAACATCTTACATTTCTTGCAAATTCATTAGTACCTGTTAACCTCTATCACTCCGACACTGGCAACCTTATTTAGGGATTAGTAACCCTCACAACTATTGTATTCTATTCTGCTCCAACCTTTATACCTGGTGGTCATACTCAATTTAAAATTGTTTTCCTATATACTTCTGTAAACTTGTTGATAAATATCTGTTTTTCATTGAGTCACCCGTATCAACAGTTTAGGGATTTGCATACATAATTTATTGCTTTATTACTCTCTCATACATAAAAATACACTATAGAGTAGGAATTTCCTTATTAAAATAAAAAGAATCAACTAAATATTTCTAAATTGTTATGTTCATTAAATTCAATTGGTTTTCGACCTCGTAGATATGTCTGTAGGACATGAACTTCAACCGAGCGTAGTTTTTGATGAAATCTTTTAAACAGAGGATGGCGATACTCCTGTCATACATTCACAATGACTTATTGTCTTCTCCTGAGACAATGTTTTTCTCAAATACTCATACACATTAGACACTATTTTTTAGCTTTAAGTCTTAACTGGTTGCGAGAACCTTTCAGATTTATACTCTCACTGGTATTACTAGACTTCCATTTTTATTTAATGAAACAATATGTAACAAAAGCAACATTTATACGATAGCTAAACGATACGAACAATTTAACTGATTACAATCATGACTCATTTAAATTATTATTTGACAAACTTTAGCTACTCAAAAGAATAAAGGCTCATTTCAAAACTTGCCATAATTATGATTTTTTTCTATGCGTTTTATTTGATTTAAAAAGTAAATAATATAAATGGTTAACTATATTTTACTAGCATTTAAAATATACTTTACTCACTCTCCTCTGGCACACCTTGTGGCTGTGGACACTGTATGCTCTCGTATTCTGTTCGCCCATAGCTTGCACTGTAGACTGCAACTCGTGAGTTAGGATTACAATTTAACTTGATTTTACTATTTTGACAGGCTACTTGACTTCTAAACTCATCTGCAAAAACACAGTTATCATTATATCTATACCTTAAGCTATCTTAAATAAATTCTTTTTAATAAATCTATTAAATTGTCACAGTTATACCTGAGCTCGAATCTTGGATAGCATACGTTTCAACAATTTACAATTCTACTTCAATGACAACTGTTTGGAAAAAAGTAAAAAGAATATCTGGTACAAAATCACACAAGTCGATAAATCTGTTAGAGCAAAATAATGTAATATATAAATCTCAAAAGGAAATATCAAATATACTGGCATTAGGTTATGAAAAAAAACTCAAGCGATGCATACTATTCACCAAATTTCTTAAAGAACAAAATAAATGAAAAAAAAAATCTACCATAAACTATGAAGATTAAAATAACAGCGAAATAAACTTTCCAATATCGATGGATGAATTAGAAACGGTAATGAAAAACTGTAAGAACTCGTGCCCTGGGCCAGATAATATATCCACTATTTTTCTAAAAAACCTCACCTACCCATCTAAAGAATACTTACTCAGCATGTTCAACCTAATTTTCTCGAAAAATGTATTTCCAGAATCCTGGAGAAATTCAATAATAATTCCTATTCCTAAACCGAGTAAATCAAAATCAGATCCCGAAACATATAGGCCAATATCTCTTACTTGTAGTATGTGCAAAATGCTAGAGAAAATAATAAATAACAGACTTATATAATATCTGGCATCAAAGAAACTAATTATACCAGAACAAAATGGCTTCCGAAAGCGTCGTTCTACTGTAGACAACCTTATTGATGTAGAATCGGAAATACATGAGGCTTTCGCAGTCAATAATAATTCCTATTCCTAAACCGAGTAAATCAAAATCAGATCCCGAAACATATAGGCCAATATCTCTTACTTGTAGTATGTGCAAAATTCTAGAGAAAATAATAAATAACAGACTTATATGGTATCTGGCATCAAAAAAACTAATTATACCAGAGCAAAGTGGCTTCCGAAAGCGTCGTTCTACTGTAAACAACCTTATTGATGTAGAATCGGAAATACATGAGGCTTTCGCAGTCAATAATAATTCCTATTCCTAAACCGAGTAAATCAAAATTAGATCCCGAAACATATAGGCCAATATCTCTTACTTGTAGTATGTGCAAAATGCTAGAGAAAATAATAAATAACAGACTTATATAATATCTGGCATCAAAGAAACTAATTATACCAGAACAAAATGGCTTCCGAAAGCGTCGTTCTACTGTAGACAACCTTATTGATGTAGAATCGGAAATACATGAGGCTTTCGCAGTCAATAATAATTCCTATTCCTAAACCGAGTAAATCAAAATCAGATCCCGAAACATATAGGCCAATATCTCTTACTTGTAGTATGTGCAAAATTCTAGAGAAAATAATAAATAACAGACTTATATGGTATCTGGCATCAAAAAAAACTAATTATACCAGAACAAAGTGGCTTCCGAAAGCGTCGTTCTACTGTAAACAACCTTATTGATGTAGAATCGGAAATACATGAGGCTTTCGCAATCAAACAACACTGTATTGGAATATTTTTCGACATTAGTAAAGCCTACGATTCAGTATGGAAATATTCAATTTAAAAAACGCTTAGCGAATGGAAAATAAGAGGTAATATACTCAAATACATATCAAACTTATTAAAAAATAGACAATTTCAGGTCAGAGTAGACGGCGTATATTCCTCAACAAAAAATCAAGAAAATGGTATACCACAGGGCTCGAACCTTAGCACTACTCTGTTTCTTATAGCTATGAATTCTATTACCGCAAAAATTAAACATCCTGTAAAAGCTAGGCTATATGCAGATGATTTAGTTATACTTTGTAGAGGAAAGAACCTAACAACCATCCATAACCATGTCCAAAAAGCCACAAATCATATTGAAGAATGGTCATTCACAAGTGGTCTTCAGTTCAATACCCTCAAAACCAAAGCAGTATGTTTTACGAAAAGTCACCAAATACAACCTAAGAACTTATATTTAAATGGAGAACAGCTTAAATATGTAGACGAAGTTAGATTTCTTGGTATGATCTTTGACCAAAAACTAACTTGGAAGAAACATCTAGAATATTTAAAAAAGACATGTCAGCCTGGAATAAATTTGTTACGATCACTCGCAAACAAAAAATGGGGCGCCGATTCTTCTACATTACTACATATCTACAAGGCTCTAGTACGCTCCAAACTGGACTACGGCTCAATTGTTTATAACTCCTCCAAAAAAACGTACTTAAAAACAATAGACGTTATTCAAAATACAGTCCTCCGAATTTCCTTAGGAGCATACACGTCCAGTACAAACTCTATACTGGGAAACTGGAGAGATTCCACTCGCATTGAGAAGACAATATCTAAGTCTTTCTTATGCCGCGGCAGTATCGTCTAATCAAGATAATCCTGTTATACACAACGTATTCGCTGACCGCTTCAAAAGTTGTTTCCAAACTTCAAATCGAACTGATCACCCTTTCTATTTCCGTCTACATACCTACTTGTTAACAATGGGTATCCATTTTCCAGACACCTACGATATCTCCTCAATTCAAACCCCTCCTCCTTGGACAATTCAACTTCCCTCTACTGACACCAGCTTATTGCGCCTAAACAAATCAGAAACGCCAGCAAGTCAAATTAATCAAGAATTTCTAAAAATATTAAGCAAATATGGTAGCTGTTTCAAAGTTTACACCGATGCCTCCAAAAACGAAGACGAAACTGGGGCAGCAATCTACTCTTCAGAGTATACTGAAGCTTACAAATTGCCTTCATATACAACAACGTTGTATACAACAAAGTATGCAATACTAAAAGTACTAGTTCTGATAGTTAACGAAAATAAAAAGAGAAATATCATTATTACAGATTCTCTTAGTTCAATAATGGCATTAAACCAACTTTACTGTAACCATCCACCACTCCTTCTCATTAAAAAGGAACTAAAACATGCCGAAAATGTGAACATTAAAGTTAATTTTATATGGGTACCGTCACATAGTGGAATCGAAGGAAACGAGGTTGTAGATAAAATAGCAAAAACTGCACCTACTAACCCAAATGCAGAAGAAAATACGAAATGTTTTCACACCGACCTGAAAGTATTCTTTAAAGAAAAGATTAATCAATATGGCAAGATACATGGAAGAACTCTTCAACCAAGCTGTACGAAGTTGATAAGAATCATAAAAAATTCCCAAAATTCAACAATAGAAGACAACAAGTAACTTTCACTCGGCTCCGGATTGGCCATACTCGGTTAACACACGACTACCTGCTAAAACGTACTGACAAACCTGTGTGTGACATGTGTAAAAGTGTCTTAACGGTAAAACATTGTTTATTGCAGTGCCCCAAGTACGATGTACAACTTGTATAACATTTAATTAAAATTAAACAGTGCTCTTGGAAAAGACAGTAATACTAAAAATATTTTCGCCTTTCTCAAAGACTGCCAGCCGATATCAAAAATCTAATATTTTACTGTGTATAGATCTAGGTTTATTTCTATTTCTGTATTGCTATAGCTAATATTCTATTGTTGAGTTCTAACTTTGTATCACAATCCATACACGCTAATAACCCTGCGTGGTTGATGCGTCATATAAGGAAAAAAAAAAACAGTTATACCTGTACCCAAATTAAAAAATAATTTGCCTTAAAAACCCTATTTTGATACCTTGACCTACGCCCATGTATTATCTTTATTTTATCTTCTGCGGATGTGATTCTTAATAGCATTTAGTAAAATATAGTTTTAAAATTGAAGGGCTTTGGGGGAAAAGGTAACAAGCCACAAAATTAGAAAATGGAGAAAACCTAGTTTGAAACTTGCATTCAAATCCTTAAATCAGAGCTTTTATTATAACACAACAATATTTTTTAAATGAAGCTTTATACTGAATATAAGCAATTTACAAACTAAAAAAAACAAACGGAACTCTTATCTAAAAGAGAAAACATATTTTTCTTGAGCAAGTGGCTTACTCCTTTTTTACAAAAACATTGTTGTAAGATTTTCTTATCTAAGACGATGTTTCTATTTTACTCAACCAAGTCAAAATTGTCCATTTCCGGATCTTCTGCGAGGTTTGTTGACTGTTGTCGAACGCCCAGCTCAACGTAAAAGTCGTGATAAACTAAAGGAATATAAGGCATGAGTTCCCTTAAAATTTTTTAGCTTATTTTCGTTAAGAGGTAAAGATATGGTATTTTTGGGGGAATATCCCTTTGGAGGAGATTTTTTATTCGATTTCCATCTTTGACTTCTCTCTTACCAATATTGACCGATTTAAACTCTTCATTTAAAAAGTGTTTCACAAGCATTATGTTGGGTTTATCCGCCTCAAATCTAAAACATAAGCATAACATAAAACTGCAGAAATAGGAAGCGACCATAAGCTTATACTTGGAAAAATCAGAATGACGACACGCATATGTAACAATAAAAACAATAAAAATAAAAAAGAAGAATACACCACAAAGGTAAAAGAGAGTCTGCAGAACGAATCAACAAAACTTCTATACCAAAAGAGAGTCAAAGATAAACTCGACAACGTGCACATCGTAGAAAGTGATGGAATCGAAGAAAGCTGGGCGAAAATTAAAGCAAGCATCCTAGATTCAGCAAAAGAAGCTGTAGGAGAAAGAAAAATTCTTAAAAATAAATATTTCCAAAAGCGGAAAACTCCGTGGTTCTGCGCAGAAGTGAAAGAAAAATGCAAAGAAAAAAGAAAGCTTACTTAAGATACATGTCTAACAAAACACCACAAGAATACAACAATTACAAAAAGATAAGAAACGAAACAATAGCACTAGTAAGAAAAATTAAAAACGAACACTGGGAACGCTTCTCAAAAAAAATGGAACACGACTTTTACGGTCTACAAAAGAAAATATGGCGTTTCATAAGAGGCCAAAGATCAGAGATGAAAGACTTAATCGAACCGAAACACATAGATAACGACATATGGATTGAATGGATTGAATACCTAAAGAAGCTTTATAATGATGAACAGCAAATGATGTTAGAACCAGAAACACCAGAAATCATTACAAACGAGGAAGTCGAGATAACCGTACAAGAAGTAAAACAAACTTCAGAAAAACTGAAGAACAGAAAAGCTGCAGGTAAAGATGGAATTCCAAATGAATTATTGAAATATGGTGGAGAAGCATTAACAGAACAGCTAACAGCACTAATTAACAAAATCATCAAACATAATAAAATACCTGAAGAGTGGAAGAAAAGCGAGTTTATCCTACTATACAAAAAAGGAGATAAAAAACAACCTGAAAACTACAGAGGTATCAACTTATTAAACACCACTTTGAAGCTTACAACCAAAATATTGCAAGGCCAAATAAATAAGAGAATTACCTTAGCGGATGAACAGCAGGGTTTTCGCACAGGAAGATCGTGCACAGATGCAGTATTCATCATAAAACAGATTACCGAGAAAGCACTAGAGTATAATAGACCAGCATTCATATGTCTAATAGACCTGAAGAAAGCGTTCGATAAAGTAAAGCTTAAAGATGTAATTCACCTTCTTTACGATAGAGAAATGCCACTAAATGTTATAAAAACAATAGAGAACATTTACCAGAACAACAATATGGAAGTCAGAATAGATGACCAGCTTACAGATCCAATAGATATGGGCAATGGAATAAGACAAGGAGACTCGCTTAGTCCAACGCTATTCAATCTAATCATGGATGAAATCATCAATACTATTAATAAAGGAAGAGGATACAAAATGGGGAACAAATAAATCATAATACTCTGCTATGCAGATGATGCGGCCCTAATTGCATCCAATGAAGACGATCTACAAAGACTAACCCATAGATTCAACACAAGGGCAAAGGACTTTAATATACATAGATAGATAGATAGATAGATAGATAGATAGTTTATTTGACTGTAAGTTACAACTAGGTTTACAGCAAGTCAAAACTAAAATTATAAATATTAAATATTACAAAATATGGTGATCTCTACACAGAAAACTAAAACAATTGTAATCAATAAAGAACCAATTAGATGTAAACTGGAAATCGACGGTATCAGCATTGAGCAAGTAATGGAGACAAATTACCTAGGAGTTACACTGTCTAGCTACGGAGATGTGGAGAAGGAAGTGAAAAATCAAGTACAAAAGGCTAATAAAATAGCAGGTTGTCTTAATAACACGATATGGCGCAATCCCCACATTAATACCGACTTGAAATCAAGAATCTACAAAGCAACAATAAGACCAATAATGACATACACTTCAGAGACAAGACCGGATACCTCCAAAACTCAGCAACTACTAGAAACAGCGGAGACGCGTTGACTGAGGAGAATTACAGGAAACACACTGAGGGATCGAATGAGGAGTGAAGAGATCAGAAGAAAATGCAATATACCAGAAATAAATGAGTGGACACTGAACAGAAAAAAGGAATGAAACGAACACATAAACAGAATGGAAGAGACCCGATTAGTCAGAATAGCGAGGAACAAATCACCAAAAGGTAGAAGTATCGGACGACCACGCAAAAGATGGAGTGATAACCTCCAATAGAGGCATTAATCGACAATGAACAAGCATTTTGCTTATAAAAAAGAAGAAGAAGAGAAGAAGAAATCTAAAACATCTAACTTGACTAAAACGTAAAGGTTCTTTTTCGTCTGTCGTCTGTTTTTTGTTAGTTTGCCTTTGCAGCTCGTCAAAGAAAAAATCTTTTTGTTCCATCTTGATAACTTCAAATGGATTGGTTTTTTGGCTTTTCTTATAACGTCGCACCATTGATTGGATGATAGATTTGTGCCGTAAATTTCTTTTTCTTCTAAATTAGGGCGAAATCACGATCTGAGGGTAAGCGCGTATGCCCACTTACAAGAAAACGATATTCGATAGCCAAAAACTGTTTTTCTCTGACTAGTTGCATATATACTGACATCAGAGCCCAGTTTTTTTTTGACCCCCACAGTTATCGGTGTAAATAATAAGCTCTTTATTGTCAGTATTTGTTAGGAACACTTCGATATATTTCAGTAGTGCACTGGCAATTCCATCACTACCCCTCTTTGCCACATTTTCGGTCCAAGTGAACATGTACCCCTGCTCTCTGTTGCAGTTATGGATACCCAAATTGTACATCCATGCCTTTGTCAAATAAAATGCTTTTCCCACAGTCAAATTCGGTACTGGCAATGCCTGTTGTAATTCAAATAAAATTACTTACTTCCTTTTCATCTCTTAATTTGGCATGTGCAGACTCTTTTATCAAGTCCTGTAGCATCGCCTCAGCCCTTTTTTGATGCAACTCTAACTTTAACTTAATTTGTTGACATTCTTCAGCATTTTTTTTATTTGATTCGAGCGAGACATTGTATGAATTGCATGTTTGGCATATATCCGTTTTTGACAGTTTAATTCCTATATTATATTGCGAACAAAAAACTCTTCTGTAATAATTTCCTTTCACTGGGATAATATGTTTGGCATTGCACCAAGGTATATAATAATCTGTATATAAAGATGATATTGACAAATCGTGATTGATGTAAGTGCAGTTGGGGTTATCTTGCCTGCTGTAATGGCTGGAATATTTGGGTATTGCTTGAATATGTCGATGGATGTACAGAATTCTGTCTTTAGATATTTTGTTTTTTTCTGTTCGTATGTTTTCCTCGCTTATCAGTTTTTGGAGTAGACTTTCCTTCCTTTATTTGGCAACAGATATTATATATTCGCTTTTTTGACTGCTGGAGACCATGAACTGCCAAAAATTCAGATTTGCATACTTCTTTGTCGGTGGCATTAATCTTTATATATTATTTAAATAATACACTTCTACAAGATGTTTGGCGTTTTTTTTGGAATGGAATACCAATGGAAAATATCGAACTTAGTAATGAAGTTCGTTTCGGTTCGTAAATGCCCCTTTGTCCGCTTCTCGTCAATCGATGATGATAGGGTTAATAAATGTTGAAGTTGTGGAGTAAAAGTGATGATTTATTGACAGCAACTCGTAATTACATAATATGGTCTTCGTTCGGTAACTACTCAATATTGACTGTGTTCATTTAAACTCAAATCCCCCAATTTATAATCTCACACATAATAGATACATAAGCACTTTAGGTCATTGCTTCGTTCATATCACACCACCTAACTTTTGCTTATAATACAATTTAATCTACGCCTTAATTGCGACACTTAGGAAGTTCAATTAGAAAATATTATTATTCGGCAATTTATTTAGTTGTAGGTAAATGAACTAATTATTAAATTATCATACGATATGGTTTTGCAATATATATAATGCAAACTTATACACGGTGAAACTATAAAAGATTAAGAAGTTAGGAATAATGTGAGATTACAAATTAAGGGGTTAATTTGTGATTGAAAATATTGGCCACTATATAAAACAAACAGACGAAAATATTTAAACACATATAAAATATAAATAATAATAATAATAATAAACATAACACTAATTCACTCGGTTTTTGAATTATTATCTCACCCGAGCAGTGCTACCTATAATTTGATTATTTAGAATTCATGTTTCAGCTAAACTATCTAATTCAAATCTAAGCTCATTAAGTGGAATTGATCTGGGAGGGGCTATCTTTAAAGTACTACCTAAATTTGGTTGTGATGAAGTATGTCTTCGAGGCGCTGGATGAGATTGGATGTAAGAACCTTGATGCCTTTGTTTTCTGGCTCTCTTGGAGTTTCGAAAATATCTGACTACCTTCCACGTAATGGCAATCAACATAATAATGAATAAAGTGACTAGTCCCGTGGTTAAATGAGGAATCCACAGATGGTTAGCAATGGTTTTCCAAGTGTGTTCTGATATATCTTGGTCAAACTACTCTGCCTCAAGTATACTATTTGGCAACTCATCTCCCCGAATATCTATATTATGTTTGGGAATGTTGTTCTGACTTATGATTGGCCTCTGCATAAGCTCTGCAATAGGACTGACGGGAGTCTTTAAGTAGCTTCCAATTGCTGTTTCCAATCCGTTACTGGATGTGAGTAACGTTATGTTTCGAGTCTGAGCAACGCATTTTGGTGACAGTTTTATAAAACTCGTTTTATCGATTATGTGTTCAGATCGAGAACCATCGCACATTATAGCTAAATTTATAGCGTATGGTGGAATGACTAACCACAGATTCGGTGTGCTCATTTTCAACCAACTGGCTTCCTTTATCGTGTATTCTATTATATTGCAAGTGGTATTGGTCGTTCTATCATATAATTCATTTAAGCTACAGTTTGGCTGAGTATCCATATTAATGATTCCCATTG